GGGATCAGGGTGTGGGAGGGGGGATGGAGGGGATGGGTGGTTGGAGGAGATTGGGGGGGGATGGGGAGATGTGGGTGTGGGGGGGGGAGGAGGGGTGGGCAGTGCAGCGGGCCCTGCACTCACACCCACCAGCTGGCCCAGCTCTGCCATTTGCCCCCCTCCTGGCTCCCCACGTGCCCCCAGTCCAACCCCCGCCCCCCCCCATCCAGACACCAGCCAGCTGTTTCCATTGGCTTTTATTAGAAAACTCTGGGTCGGACAATTTCACGGGCTCCCCTTAATCCCCCTCCCCTCGCTGGCCCCCGGCCTGGCCTCCCCATTAATCTGCGGTGCCCCCCTCTCCCCCGGCACAGTCACCCAGCAAACGGGGCAAGCGAGCAATAACTCTGACAGACATCCCTCCCCCCCCCCCCACACACCCCACCGCCCCCCGCCGCTGGGGCCAGCGGCACCCTCTGGTGCCAGCAGTGGGATACGGTGGGGCGTAAAGTGCATCGGCGCAGCACGGCAGGTGTCACCGCAGGGCCCATGCCAGAGCCAGGGTCCAAGTCAGGAAGGCCGGCAGGGGGCCCGGCAGAGCCCCACTGCAGAGACACTGGCCACCTCCAGGGTTCCCGCTTCCTCCCCGGGGCCCCGGGGCCGGCGATGCAGTGGGGGAGCCCTGGCAGTACATCCAGTCCTGGGGGGCTGACCTGGGGTACCCACTCTCAGCCTCCACGCTGCCCCCCAGAAACCGCCAGTACTGGGTGCCCTTGAAAAAGTAGGTGCTTCCTGCAGAGGAGAGAGAGAGAGAGATGAGAAACGGGGCACTCACTGCAGGGGTCACTTTAGATGGGTGGCACCACAATACCACTCTGTGCCACAAGAGGGAGCTTGACACCAGGCTGCCCAGCTCGGTGTTAGCAAAGGAGGCCCGCATGAGCAGCAGCGTTAGCCTGGGGAACTGCCTGCCACTGGGAAAACTGCCGATGATGCATTGTTAGCCTAGGGGACTCCCGCCCACACTGGGAATGCTTCCGGAGAAACTCTGCTAGCCTGGGGAACTCCTTGCCACTTGAAACACTGCTGGAGGAGCACTGTTAACCTGGGGAACTCCCCACCACTGGGAATGCCACCTACCATCGTTCCAGCTGATGATGTCATCCAGCCCAGGGGGCACCCCCTTCCAGAGAGTCAGCGGTCTGGGGTACCCGGGCTCCACGTTTCCAGCTCGGTCGTCGAAGCGCCAGTAGTGGGAGCTCTCGAAGAGGTAGGTCTTGCCGTTGTGCCCCCAGACGAAGGCCGCCTCCACCGTGACCCCCTGGGGCAGCCCCAGGTCGGTGATGGGGCGGGGAGACCCTGGATCCACCTGGGTATCAGTGAAGACCCAGAAATGCTGCCCTGTGGAGAGGGTGGAGAGTCAGTATGGAGGGCGGCGGAGTGGGGGGCAGGCTAGGGAGTCACGTTGGGGGGTTATTGGATGCAGAGGGGCATGCTGGGAGTGGTTCTGGGGTGCAGTGGTATGTAGGGCAGGCTGGGAGTAGGAGCCAGGCTGGGGTGGTTATGGGGTGCAGTGTTCTGTGGGACAAGCTGGGGGGTTTATGGGAGATCAGGCTGTGGGGGGTCTGACACTATCTCAAAACCGCACCCCGGGAACCCCCCTATTCATCACTGTGATGGGGGTTGTACAAAACCTGCCTTGTAAGGGATGGTTTTAAAAGCCTTGATCTGCTGACCAGGAACTCCCTGTTGGATGGTGTGAGCTGTCACTGGATGGGGAGGTAGGAAGTGTTGCTCCATGTGTGTGACTGAAATACGCTGTGAGGTTGGGAACCCCCACAAGCAGCCTTTCAGGAGCGACAAAAGAGCAGCTGTCTCTGGCCAGATGGGTGGTGATGGCCCCTCAAGGAGAATCGGCTCTTCGGGGACTCCTTGGAGAGGTCATGGAGCCAACGGGGCTGCTCCACCCCGAGTCCAGCCAGGAACTTTCTACCAGCTGGAAGAAAGTATCAAGGAGGGATGGAGGGATCATCACTTGGCCTCTCTCCTTCCCCATCTCAACACCTGGAAGCTGGGCTGGAGGACACCGACTTTGAACTGGGGAGACTGGTCCCAGGCGGGAAGGGAATCCAGCCGACGTACTGCCTGGACCATTCTTTAGGGTCAGAGACGGCTTGGTTCAAATCCTGTTTAAGCTGTGGAATTTGGACGTGCGCCTGCGACTTCTCATCACTTAGAAACTCGTCTTCCTGTCGTTAATGAACCTGTTTGATGTTTTACCTAGAACAGTGGGCTTTGGTTGAGGTGCTCGGGGGAATCTCAGCTCCGGTTACAAAGGCTGGTGTGTGTCCACTTTCCTCTGATGAACTAATTAGCGAGCTTGCACTGTCCAAGGGAGTCTGGAGCAGTGTTGGACGGTATATTTCTGGGGTGCAAGGCTGGGGGGTTTGGCTGGTGCCGCTCCCGGGAGCATTCATGCAGTTTAGCTGGGCGTGGGGCTCCACAGGCTGACGGCTGAATGATCGCAGCGCCTGGAGGGGTTTGCTGCGTGTCACTGGCATTGCATTGCGAGAGACGGCCCAGGCTGGAGAGTTCAGGGGGCATGGCTGTCCCACAGCCCCAGGCTGCCCCCCGGGGGTCCCAGTGGCGCAGCGAGTGGGGTGAAAC